CCTCAGTAGAGTACCATGATGTCACAGCTCACAGCAACCTCAAACTCTTGGGCTTAAGCAATTCCCTTGTCTCAGCCTCCCAAATAGATGGGACTACAGGTGCCCGCCACAACGCCCAGCTATTTTTTTTATTGCAGTTGTCATTGTTGTTTAGCTGGCTCAGGCTGAGTTCGAACCCACCAGCCTCAGTGTATGTGGCTGGCTCCCTACCCACTGAGCTATGGGCTCTGCCCAGTGTGGGACGGTCATTATTTTATTTTATTTTATTTGAAACAGAGTCTTGCTTCTTAGTAGAGTGTCTTGGCATCATAGCTCACAGCAACCTCAAACTCTTGAGCTCAAGTGATCCTTTGCCTCAGCCTCCTGAGTATCTAGGACTACAGGCGCCTGCCAGAATGCCTGGCTATTTTTAGAGACAGGATCTCACTCTTGTTCAGGCTGGTCTTGAACTTGTAAGCTCAGGCAATCCATCTGCCTCAGCCTCCCAGAATGCTAAGATTACAGGACTGACAGATTGGGTTTTTTGTTTGTTTGTTTGTTGTTTTGGAGACGGAGTCTCACTTTGTTGTCTTGGGTAGAGTGCTGTGGCATCATAGCTCACAGAAACCTCAAACTCTTGGGCTCAAGTGATTCTCTTGCCTCAGCCTCCCAAGTAGCTGAGACTACAGGCACCCGCCAGAAATGCCTGGCTATTTTTATAGATGAGGTCTTGCTCTAGCTCAGGCTGGTCTGGAACCTGTGAGCTCAGGCAATCCAATCACCTTCGCCTCCTTCACTACCACACCAGGCCAGATTGGGGTTTTTAAAAGACACCCTGACTGTACTGTGGAGCCCCAACTGGTAGCAGCTAAGGGTTGGTTGGAGAGAGGAAGACATTGGGTGGTGCCTGTGGCTCAAAGGAGTAGGGCGCTGGCCCCATATACCCAAACACAGCACCGGCCAAAAAGAAAAACTGAAAAAAAAAAAAAAGAGAGAGAGAGGAAAACATGAGACCAGGTAGTAGACTAGCATTATCAGCCATCCAGAGAAGATACGAAGGTGGTTTGGACTAGGGTGGTCATTGGTGAGCCTTGGAGAAGTGGCTCAATCAGAATATGTTCTGCAACTGTAGCTAATGGGCCTAGCTAATGAGATGAATGACAGATGAGAGAAAGAGGCATCAGGGGTGAGTCCTGGATTTTTGCCTTGAAAACCAGTGTGTCGGCTCAGCGCCTATAGCTCAACCGGCTAAGGCGCCAGCCACGTACACCTAAGGTGGCGGGTTCGAATCCCCAGCCCGGACCCGCC